GAGACGCTATTAAGTTTATTCATCAAGTGGATTTATATGCATGTATTATTCAGTGAAACAAAAGCGACAACCAGATGCAGTTTGTACACTAAATATGGCCTTCGTAACTGTTCGCCACAAAACATGTATAACTATGCGGTCTGAAAGTGGCGTTAACCACCATCAATCAATCAACATATAGATGCATTTTATGTACAATGTATGTACATTGTTTATTCACCTGAAGTTAGAAAATTTGATTACACTCGAGCAAATGTGCAGTAAAAATGATCCGTGTGTTTTCTAAATATTTTATAAAAATAAAATGTGATTTATTCCTGTGAATATTTCAGCTTTTTTATGCTTGTTTAAAAGAAACAATGTGATGTGATATGATTGCCAATGAAACAACTGTATCGACGAGATCTACGATTGATTGATTGATTGTTGGTTGCTTAACGTCCAGTGGCAAATATTTCATGCATATTCAGGACGAGAACAAGTTCACAATAAATACAATAGGTAGGTTCTGTAATAGATTAAGGGATTATGGTCGGAGAAATTTAGACTGCCACGGGAAATGAGGGTATATTGGATAGGGACAGAAATTTAGCCTTGCAACAGGTCACCTACGGACCCCTCAAAGAGTTGTTGCAAGGGTTCTTAACGTGCAAAGAGCGTGGCACTCTCTTTACACGAGGCATCGGATTTAACGTCCCCATTCTGACCGGACGTGGCTGCAAATTTGTACATCCCGCACAGCCAAACGGACGCCCCACTTTAGCACGGGTTTTACTGCCGGTCGGAGGAAGACCAATGGTGACCATACTTCTATTCCCCAGTCACCCTTGGGGGAGACGAGATCTACGAGATAATGGTGTGTGATTTATGACGTACATGTATGTCATATCGCTTTAATATTGTTCTTTTTTTTATGTTAGGTTTTTGAAATTCTCTGATATTTTATTTTGGATATATTTTGTCGAGTTCAGTATAAAGACAATATACGTATAGTGTCTTGAAATATGAAATTTATTTGTAATCGGCACGAAACAGGGGAAAATGCTCGGTAGAACCTCGCATTTCCCCCAGTTTCTTAGCCTCATACAAATAAATTTCATATTTCAAGACACTATACGTATATTGTCTTAATTATTCCTGTGAATATTTCAGCTTTTTTATGCTTGTTTAAAAGAAACGATGTGATGTGATATGATTGCCAATGAAACAACTGTATCGACGAGATCTAGGAGATAATGGTGTGTTATTTATGACGTACAACATGTATGTCATATCGCTTTAATATTGTTCTTTTTTTATGTTAGTTTTTTGAAATTCTCTGATATCAATTTTTTATTGCATTTAACAATACCTGTATAGGAACTTAAATATTATTTCATATAAAAACATACCGAAGTGAGTAATGTTCTGAGATGCCTCTTAGTCCAAATTGAACACAATTGTTCAGCCATACTGTGTTGAGGAGGGCTTTTGGAGAATTGTCACCAAAAATGTTCTTGTCAAATAGCATGCTGATCTCCTCATCTGTTAATTTCTGGGCCCTTTTAGGTTTGTTGCCCTTACCTTTTTGTTTTAATAGTTTTTGCTTTGCCTTTAATGTTTCTCTAGTAAGGTGGAAACTCTCATCATTGTCATCTCCCATGATAGAGTGACCATATTTGTGACGCCTGAGTTTTCTCTCGACACTACTTATGAAGCCACGGATAGTCAACGGTTCATACTCTTGGCCATCTTTTTTTCGTACAGTAAGAACAAAGTTAGAAAGAAGAGAGTCAAGCTCAGCAACTGGTATTGTTTGTATTTCTCTAGTTTCATTTTTCTTTCTAAGAAACCTGGTAACCAATGCTAGGTCATAAAATGATTTCTTTGCAGTGTTTTTGTTTTGCTGCTTATCAAGAAAGTTTTGTACACCAGTTTCATCAAGATGTAAAAAATCTTCGTCAAACTGTTTATCTTCAAGTTCCATGTTTTCATGTGTTGTGTTTGGAACAGTTGGAACAGTTGCAATACATGTATTTGCAGTGTCAGTGGTGTGTGTATCACTATCAAGGGAGTATTCAAGACCTATTTCAGTACTTCCTTGATCAGCCAGCATATCTATTTGGATGAGGACATTTTCTAGATCTTCATCAATATTTGAAGTTACATCTTGTTCATCTTCTAACATATTTAATGGAGACCACAGGAGATTGAAGTTTGCAACTTCGTCCGACATTTTTCTGGAAATTTTAGCAGACGAAGTTTGGGGGGAGGGTTTATGGCATTGGAATATGTTGGCTTTTCAAGAATCAATTGAAAATGTCAAAAATTATAAAAAACAAATATTTAATTGGTTCAAGAAAACAAAACTATCGAATCTATTATTATTTTTATTATTAACACTGACAGTTGATCGAAGTTTAACGATTGTTGACATGGAAGTGACGTGACATTGTTGAAATACAGTAGTTCCGGTAAGTAGGCGTGGCTAATAGGTCAGTCGAGGTCATTGACGTATAAAGCTTACGTTTATACGTATAGCTTTATATGTATAGTAAAATAGCTGATTGCAGTATAATTGGGTTTTATGGTGTAGTAAGTAGTACTATGATGTTAGATGATCTATTTATTGAAACATTCTTGGTATTATTAGAATTTGATGGTAAAGTAAAGTACCACTACTAAAAGTAAAGTACCACTACTAATTTCTACCACTGGGGATCCAAAACGATCACACAACTGCCTGACTCGGCCCCAGCGGAAACCAAGTTGTCTAAATTTGGTGTTGCCAAGAACATCCTGTTCATTCTTTGCAGCACCTCAAGGCTGAGGTTGTCCTCCCTTTTACTATAGTTCTCCGAGAACATCATGTCCTAATGGGACGGCGTCAAGAAATGTAGTACACTGGACATTACCCTTCAATGTAGGATACAGACAGGACTGTATCTTAAACCAGGCCTGTGTAGGCAATCCCATTTTCCTACAGACAGTCCTTAAGACAGGCATCTCCTCTCTCGCTTGGGGATAACCAGCAGACACTCTGGCATTTCTCCTCAGACACTGGACCATGTCCTCATAGGGGGCGGAGGCCAGACCAGTTAACCACTGTGCCAAAACCATTACCATGTGTCCTCTATAGCGGTGGAATCCGGGATCTCTCATTAGATGCAGCTCTTGAGTGGGGACAAACATGTATGACAAATGCTCACCCAATACGTTTCTCTTGACACCCCTTGTCATAACTGGGCAACCGCGCACAGGGCATCGTTGGTCCCTTTGGCTTAATACATTTATGTATGAGCGCTCCATTTTGCCACTTCTGGGGCATCTATAATCATAGATCCCATCAGGCTCTGCACTATCGCCCACCTCGTCGTCTACACGATCTTCTACCAGAGGCAAGGCTGCCTGTTCAGGTATAGGCAAAGTTGCCTGTAGGACTGGAGGCAAGGTTGCCTGTTCTCCATGGACATTGCGTGTATCATTCATTTTTCGTTAATCCTCCGTGTAATGCTCATCACTGATCGTGCGTGTGGTCAGTTTGAATTTTAGAAGGTCTGTACGTGCAAGATGTTGTTGAAAAATGTGTTGATTTGGCTTGTTAATAGCCTCAGTGAATACTGTATCTGGTCTTTGTGGAAGAAGACGAGCTTGTTTGCTTATAATAGAGTCTTGTATTTGATAGCTATATATCTTTTCGCCGTTTGACTGCTGAGCATTGAATTTCAGAATTGCATTGTGAACAATCCAGCCAGGTTTCCTATTTGATGTACCAACGGAAATTCTACGCTGATTACCAAAACTTCTCTCCTCATTTTCTGTTAATATGGCCTTGGTATTGAAGATTCTAGCAGTTTCTCTGTGGAAATGAATGCCGCAAAATTGACGAATAGTCATCTTAGGAATAATTTGACGGCACAGCATGGCAAAAAGAAGAAAAAAAAATTAATAGCCGAAGCAGTTGTTTTGTTGACCTGGTATTAAAAGGGCTGTATGCTTTTGTTATATCGACCAGCGAAAAAACAGATCAACAAATTTTTTGCTGATGCTACATTTCTCGTTCAAATTTGTGATGAATTTGGCCAGCTGAATCATAACACGACGGGCCTCAGAGCCTTTTACTTGGTGTTTTCCCCAACAGTTTTTGTTTTATTTGCAGCAAATTTTGCAAAATCATTTTGTACGTTATTTTCAATGTGTGAAGGGAGTTCTTCTATGATGTTTTTAACTACATTTTATATATCATATTGAGGTTTATTGTGTAAAATTTCAAAGGTTTCCAAATTCAGGGTTTGTGTTAAGAGTTTCCTTGATTTATCATAAGTAATGCTGCAGGTCTTGTTACACCATGCATCAGTTCTGTTAACTCATCTTTCAATGTACTTCTGTCCATATTGTCTGTGTTTACATTCCTGCATTCCAGTTCTATAATAAGCTCTGCCCTTTTTAACTCAACAAATGGATTAAAATTGCCACTCTAAATTTTTAACCAAACCTCTCCTCCCAATACCAACCTCCGCCTTTCTTCTAGATGTAGAAATTTTATTTTTATGCAAGCTTCAAAAATAATATGATTTTTATGAATGCACTACACAGAGACAGCTGTAATTTCCACCTCTTTGCTGCCCAGCTTCAAACTGGCGATCTGGATTATCTCCAGGAAAAAACCCGTATGGTATCGAAAAACAACCTTTTTTGAAAAAAACTGGGTTCATTTAGGGTCAATATGTCATCCAGACGAGTGGCGATATAAGTGAATTGATCAGCATCTGTAGATGCTGCAAAATTTGATTATTAATTAATATTTAAAGATTAATTCTCAACCCATCCCACACACCCACCCCTCATTCCAAAAATAAATTGTGATTTATCAAGTTTAACGGAAACTGTAAAAGATATTTGGTATGCATTGCACATTCAATAGACAATTAATGCAATGCCCCCTCAGTCATGGTTTTGACGATTGATTGCTTTAACGATTCCGCATGTTTAAGCTTTTGATGGGTCATTTTTTAAAGGAATCAATAGTAATTTGTCAATAATGTTATAAATGTTGTTGTATAGGTTGTCTGAGGAGTAGAAGGATGACTGCTGCTTGTCTGAGGAGTAGGAGGATGACTGCTGCTTGTCTGAGGAGTAGTAGGATGACTGCTGCTTGTCTGAGGAGTAGTAGGATGACTACTGCTTGTCTGAGGAGTAGTAGGACGACTGCTGCTTGTCTGAGGAGTAGTAGGACGGCTGCTGCTTGTCTGAGGAGTAGTATTACGACTGCTGCTTGTCTGAGGAGTAGTAGGACGACTGCTGCTTGTCTGAGGAGTAGTAAGACGATTGCTGCTTGTCGGCTACGATAATCAGCAAAGCAGAAACTAGAAGAAATACGAGTGTCGGGCAGTAGACAGTAGGAAAGGGATACCAAAAAAATCGCGGGTTAAGAAATTTTGTGTCATTTTGTTAATTTTTGGAGAACCAATGTTTTGGTGTGTCTTATCATTTAAAATATTTACTGAAGCACCATTATCTATCATCATTTTTCATGTTTTTGAATTTACTTTAATTCAAGCAAAGGGTGATTTATGTATTGAACAAACTGTCTCGGCTTCTTTTAAACTAGAAATACTCCTCATCATAACTGTCTAAACTATATTGATATGTCTGTCTCTCGGTATTGAGAGTTTTCACTTCATTTACGTGTCTATCTATTGTGATTTGTCTATTTGTACCGGTATATCTATTTTGATTATCATTTTTGCTATTTATTATTTTGATCTTAGTCATTTGAGAAAATAGTGTTTGAGAAAAAAAAACATAATTAAAAAAAAATCTAAAAAGCAATAGCTCTTAAACTATTTTATATATTTACATACAATTTCAGTGTATATAATCAAGAAAGTGTCCCATTGTCAGCTTTTGTCCATCTTTTTACACTTTTAATTTATATTTTTGCCCTTGTAATCATTTTGTTCATTTAAATGTAACAAAATGTGCATCAGTTTTGAAGAATATGCAGGAGATCTTAAATGAAAATATTCTGGTGAAGGGTTTCAGAGTAGATTTTTTATGCAAAATTGAAAGAACTGTAATATGAAGGGTGCAAACACATGGCTGAGCCATACTGACATTTAGTCAGGTGAGCTAAAAACTGTTGAGGAAAGTTTTATATATTCCTAACTTAATTGATTAATGTCTAGTCGCAAATATTTCATGCACATTCAGGTTTGAAGGAATTTTGAAGAATTATTCATAGCATTCAACACTTTTTTCTAGAGTTTCTTGACAAGGTCAGTGCACTCAAAAAACAAATAAGCAAATGATTGACTTTTCTGTCAAATTTATGAGTGCATATAGAATCAACTTCCATACAACAATGGACTTAGGAAAAATAGTGTTAATTCATTATAATTTTGTTATTGTGTCATTATATACAAGTATCTTTCAAACAAGTGTCTCTGATGATTTTGTATTGTTGTCTATGAACGTTTCTAGTGACCAGTGGAATGGTTATAGTGTTCAGCATGTACTTCCAGTCAGAAAAAGTGTTCATTGAAAAAAATAATACTGTCTAATTTACAAGAGTATCCAATCAGTATGCAAAATTTTGATGATCAATAGAATTATCATTATATTAATCACATAAGTCCAATAAAAAGATTTCTTACTTGAAATTTACAGGGTAATCTTTGTAGGTACACCATTCCATATCTGTGCATAGAGAGTGGTCTCCTGAAACATTGGAAACTATTCTGTTTTAACCCTCTCTCAAATCAATTTTTAATCCTGCATTTCCCTTGATTGCATACATAAAACATCTGACAGGATAAGGGATGACATCAGGATGTTTCAGTTCCATATACTTCTTGGAAAGCTCATACAACTTTTTTGAGAATCCTCTTTTAACATGGATTTGGTCATCTTTCTTTTCTTGTTCTTGATGTTCTTTTTCATTAGATACTTTCCTGTTTTCATCATCATAACCATTTTCTTCTTCGCACACTCTCGCTTCAACAGTTTGCACTACTGGACGAAATAACAACTGTCCAGACCAGTAACAGTCGTTCTAAGACTGTAAATGTTTATGTGAGTTGTAACAGTTGTAAGCTTTCACTGTTTTAGTTATTTTGTAACTGTTACAACTTTTAAAGTGTTTGTCTTCAACATCAATCGACTGGAACAACGCTAGAAATAACTCACAAATATTTCAGGACAACTATTTTTAATTTGTGACAGTCATAATTAAACTGTTTAAACGCCAAAAATGTTGTCACAGTTGAAATACGACTGTTGCAACATTTTGAAAGTTGTTACAGTTATTTAATAACTGCTCCAACACGCAAACCGCTGAAACAGTCGTAAATAAACTGTTTAAACGTCGAAAAGGTTGTTACAGTTAAATTATGACTACCACCATTTTATAGCCATAGTTAATTTATAAGATTAAAGTGTCGCAACTTTCAAATATTGGTTGTCATTTCATAGACTTAAAAGTCACGGATACTAAATTTCTGACAGTCCGGGATAGGTTAAACTAATTTTAATATTATTTCATTGTGTGCAATTGAAGAAGGTGTTTTATACAAAGGCACAAATGTCACACCTATTTAATACATTAATTTTTAAATAGAAACTGATTGTAAAAGCAAAAAAAACATATATTTAAATATCTGCCGCGGAAGATTTAGTGATTCCCTGCTTATCTGGTAAATGTGGTAAATTAATAACTTTTCAAACAATTTGTAAATTTGGGTTCAGGAATCTCATTAGGTGTGCAACAGTAAGACGAATTTTCATTGGTCTTTTCCTTTCTTTTCCAAGTTTCTTTATGATATAATAGCTACAGCAGTCAAAATTTGCGTTCAATCGTTAGATTCTTCTATATGGAGTTGTTCGGTATCATTTAGGTAATTGTCGGTTTCTTTTTTAATATCACGGTCTTTTATTAATATCGCGTAACATCGTAAGAGATTCCGTTACATTTAATGTTGTCGAGTATGGTACTGGTAAGTACTGATTTTATTGCTTTACAAATACCCACCGCAAACTTGAGTTTTGTGGAAATTTGTCGTAAAGCAAAATAAAAAAAACAACAACTTTGAAATCAACATCTGAACTTACAGCTTCAATTTTATTCCTTACACCCTTGATAATATGACCAGAACAAAGGTGTACAATGCAAATTTCATTTCTTTCAATTTGTGAGTTGTCATCAATAGTTGCCATAGCATCTTGATATACTACTGTTAAACATCCATCCATACCTTTTAAAACTTTGCAATGAATGAATTTCCATTTGAAACTTTTGGCCATCGCAAGGGGTTATGATCTGCCCATGATTTACATGTCTTTGGTAAATTATTGTGATTTTGTACGGTCCCCATTTTTATGCCGTGCTTCTGTATACAATTTTGATAGGACGCTGTCAATTTCTTTGACAGGATAGTTTTCTATGTCAGTCTTCATGTCTTTCTCTTCTAGATAATTTGTAAATAGCTTTTAAAGCGTGGTTTCTGTACATTTTGAGACAAGCCGGTGTCAACACCAGCCATTTTTGTTGTTGATGTAAACAGACGATAAGGTCTCGTGAGAAATAGCAGATTAATTTTCATTGGATAATATAAATAGGGAATTTCCCGGAATCTACAAATAAACCGCTTGCACAGTTTCCCGCGGTGAATATCCTTTTTCTCCGGTGATTATTATATGCTCTTTTATTCAAAATGAGCTCTATGTAACTTTTCTATTAGATTAAATTAATTATTGGATACTCTCTTTTATGGTACGACAGTCCTGCTTTTGATCATAAACTTTTGTTACATGTACTGCATTCAAAAACAATATTTTTATGAATGGAGTCTACGTGACGAGTTGAATCGTACTAAGTGTAAATTATCTCGTTTCATTGTCGACATTCTTCCATCGTATCCCTGTGTGTTTCCATGTGCCGAATCAAATTGCATTTTTCTGTGAACATCTTCAAACAAACATTACATTTTTTAGGGTTTGATTTATTTGTGTAATTTGGATTATCTTTTCCCTCTAAAAGATTGAGACTTGTAAAGAGATCTGTTATATCAGATTTGGATCCTTGTTCTCTTAGATAGTCTTAAATCGGTTTGTCATGGTTCAAATTCATTTAAAATACATTCATTAGAAATACTTTATTATTTTGATTGTATATTAATTCCCTAATGAGGGTAACACTATTTAACTTCAAGAGGGGGTGGGCGGGGATTTTATGTTTTTTTTCATAAGTCAATTTTTGTTCGCCCAAGGCGAGAACAAAATTATCAACTTTTTCGACGCGATCAATCGAATTTTGTTTCCTCACACTAAAGGTAAAGGGGGGATTTGCATCCGGATTAATTTTTTTGACATCTGCATGCTTTACCAGATTTTTTCTCGCCAAATTAGGGATCCGAATAATTTTGTTAAAGTTGTTAGTCGACATTGCCCTTTATAGTAAATTTTTAACAATTTTTCGTAATATTTTACAAAAAACTTGTTCTTTGAAAGGTCAAGTGAGCTATTCTTATCACTTGGAGTCCGTCGTCGTCGTTAACGAACTTATACAAAAATCTTCTTCTCTGAAACTACTGAGATAAATTTAACCATACTTGGTTTTAATAGTTAAACAAATTAGTCCGATGACCCCCGCCTTCTAACTACATGGCCGACATGGTAAAAAAATAGAGCAGTTTTTTCGTTTATATCTCTAAAACTAAAGCATTTAGAACAATTCTGACAGGTGGCAAACATGTTCATCAGATTTTAACCTTATTTTATCCTAGTTGAAAGTTCATTAAATGTTTAATGTGGTGTATGCGAAATTGTGTCCCTAATATCAAATATGTTCGGGCCAGCTGAGCTATTCTCGTCACTTGGCGTCCGTCGTCGTTAACATTTTACATATTGAACTTCTTCTAGAGAACCACTGAATGGAATGGAACCAAACATGACATGTATGTTCCTTGTGCGGTGCTGACCAAGTTTGATAGTATGTGATAAGAAGAGTTTGATATCGTGTAAAAAAAAAAATCTATAACACTTATTATCTTAATTGTCCTACTTTTAAAAGATATCAACCACAATGCATATACCTCTATCAAAACTTTCTTCTAACTCTATTCCGGCAGTCCATGTGCTACTGATCTGAACTCTCGATCTCTCTCTCGATTTCGATGAGAAGTGAACGTGATCAGAAGATAACCTTTCTGGTTGATACTTGTTGAAGTCGTGTTGTTGACTTACATGGTGAATTGGTTGAAGTTCCACCAATTTGTTGGATATTGGTGGAAGGCTGATCAGCAGTTCCACCTTCACAATCATTCATCTGACCATTGTCCTTTCCAGAGATCAGATCAGCAGTGCAACCTTCACTATCATTCATCTGAACATTGTCCTTTCAAGATCTCAAGATTAGCAGAATAATGAATAAAAAACAAAAATTCAAAACATGACTAAGTTAACACAATTTTTCGAGTAGGGACATTTTTTCTGGGTACACAAAATTTTTTTTTAGACCTCTAAAAATGACTAATCCACAATTTAAAAAGATGTGTTTCTAAGGTTATTATAAACAAACCTTAGTTTATATCGTAGTTGTGCTAACAAGATCCATAGAAAGGGGCTTGATAACTTCTACATAACCCGCCTTAAAAGGTAGGACAATGATGTCATGAATATACAATACCTCTGACATAGGAATATAATTAGCATTCTCGATACCTTAGGCTTTTCAAAACCACAATTGTCTCTGCCATTCACTCAAAATCAGTAATATTTTAGGACCCCTTTCCATTTATGACTGAAAATCTGTTGTCTTCCTGGATTTATTTCAGTACCTCCTACTACTCCTTGTCCTCTTTGAATGCATCTCATATTTACAGGGTTTTCAATATTTCCACCTGATGCAACGTTGTCTTACGTCGCAGATCATCATCATCATCATTATCATTATAATCTTGCAATATATTCTTCGAAAGTTTTAAAAACCGTTTTAGAGTTTTTACAATTCATTTCTCGTAAACAAACAACTGTTCACTGCTCATCTGTAATAGCAAAAACTTCAAATGATTTTCCGAACTTTTAATTTTATACTATCAGCATAATCAGATGATGTTCTAAATTTAGGTATTGCAAAATGTTTTCCTTAGAGCACCTTCCTCTCCTTTCCTTCGTTACGTTCGACATCACTTATTAAATGGTATCTTTTGTTATTCAAAGCTGGTAAAGCTACATTTTCAAAGACTGTCAAAGATGATCTTAAGGATTTTTCTTTTTCCCCAAGGGTGACTGGGGAAAAGACATATGGTCACTTGGTCTTCTTCCGACCGGCAGTAAAACGCTTGCCAAAGTGGGTCGTCCGTTTGGCTGTGCGGGATGTATCAAGTTTGCAGCCATGTCCGGTCAGAATGGGGACGTTAAATCCGATATCTCTTGTAAAGAGAGTGCCACGCTCTTTGCACGTTAAGAATCCTTGCAAAAACTCTTTTGAGGGGTCCGTAGTCTGCCTGTTGCAAGGCACATTTTCTGTCCCTATCCATATACCCTCATTTTCCAGTGGCAGTCCAAATTTCCCCGACCATCATCCCAGTTGGCCTCTATAACAAGACCTACTTATTGTTTTTATTGTAAACTTGTTCTCGTCCTGAACATGAATGAAATATTTGCCACTGGACGTTAAGCGACCAACAATCAATCAATCAAAATATTAAATGCCTTGTAAACAAAATCGTTATTTACTTCTAATGGAACTGGCGGCAAATTCGCCTCTTTTAAAGTTTCATCCATGATTACAATTGATGAAGATCTTCTTCAAATTTGTCCATTTCTTTTAGTGCAGACACTTTTACAACTAATCGATATCTTAATTTATTGTTACGTATTCTTAAGTAACTATTCTTAATCCATAAGGCCAGGATCTGTTGTTTTTGTTTGTCCCCTCAAGGACGAGTGTTGAAATCTAAAATGAATATAATTGTAGATAAACATACTGAGAGAGAGGGAGAAATCTAAAATGAGAGAATAGAGAGGAGAGAGAGCTCCACTTGTTGATGAAGCTAAGAGATAACAATTGGTCATAAGGACCTGCAGTCCAAGTGAGCTTACAATGATTTTGATATTTGATAAAGATAACATCAGATTTAAAACATTACTTAGGGGCATCAAGGGGGAAAGCACTGCAGCTGTTTGCCAATTAGACCCAACAGAGGTAAAGGTCAGGGACCTAAGTACGCGTGTTGCTAATATTATTTCCCAATACGTGAAGAAGGAGAAACGATTTCTTGGGAGTGGCTATTATTGTAATGATGATTTCAAATTTCCATGGTGGACATGCGACAGCAACTTTCAGTCACCAAATGACAGAAGAAATTACAAAGATCAGCTAACAAACTCAGAGCTACAGATAATTCTATGGAATATATTGATATGTCAAGACTTCCTAGTCGACCACCATCCTGCTATACTAGATTTCATTTACCTGTTCAGAATAAGAGCGTGACTTGACATCTGGAAAAGAAAAGAGATTTGTTAGCATTAAAAGTTGGTCAGATGCATTTAGCATTTTCTCTTCCGTACTCAAGAGGTTTAGCCCTACTCGCACTACTATACTAGATGATTGAGCCATATATATATATATATATTGTTTGAACGTAGTTTTCAATTTAGACTTGTTTATATTTTTTCGTTTGGGCTTGTATCATATTTTCCCTCCGGTTTTTATGATCCGTTCATCCTATTTTGACTCTTTAAATTCAAGAGTCTATCCTAAATTGAGGTAAATTGTCTGGCCTTCCAAATACCGTTTCGATCCCTAACATCACTGAAAGACATTTATTGTCGAAATCCGGATCTGGTGTACAAAAACGTTTTGACACCTCATGTTTGTGGTATAACATCTTTGCCGCAAGTTAATTGTTTTCTGTTAAGTATTAAATTAATATTCAGATCCATTTTGTTACATCTTGTGATCAATTTATTTGGCAATCGCCAATGGCAGTCAGCAGGGTTTAAGAACATCAGTTGTTCGACCTGTTAGTCAAATGCGTTTTGTTAAAATATACTTTTTCACTTTTTTGGTGTTTTGATTGATTGATTGTTGGTTGCTTAACGTCCAGTGGCAAATATTTCATGCATATTCAGGACGAGAACAAATTAACAATAAATACAATAGGTAGGTTCTGTAATAGAGGCGTCTGGGGTTGAGGTCGGAGAAATTTAGACTGCCACGGGAAATGAGGGTATATTGGATAGGGACAGAAATTTAGCCTTGCAACAGGTCACCTACGGACCCCTCAAAGAGTTGTTGCAAGGGTTCTTAACGTGCAAAGAGCGTGGCACTCTCTTTACACGAGGCATCGGATTTAACGTCCCCATTCTGACCGGACGTGGCTGCAAATTTGTACATCCCGCACAGCCAAACGGACGCCCCACTTTGACGGGGGTTTTACCGCCGGTCGGAGGAAGACCAATGGTGACCATACTTCTATTCCCCAGTCACCCTTGGGGTATTTTGGTGTTTTGGAAAATGTTGTTTGTGCTGTATTTAGACCCTTCTACAACGAAATTTGTTTTACATGCACACGTATAAAAATTGCGGTTTTTACCAACGCAATCATAGGTTTGAACGTAGTTTTCAATTTAGACTTGTATATATACATACATATATATATATATATCGATTTGATTCTACATATTCAAACAATTGTGCCAATTGGTATTATTTACGATGTTAATATAAAAAGGAAGATGTGGTATGATTGTCAATTAGACTCTCCACGTCAACTCTCCACGAAAGACGAAAATGACACAGAAATTAACAACTATAGGTCACCGTACAACCTTTAACAATGACTTAGACAATCAATGCACATGATGACACACTTTCTTGCAGTTCTGTTGATCAAATCTTACATAAACAGTCCCTTAATAGATGTATTCTCACAGTAGTTAGCCAACACAAATCGCCCAGTTTATTAAAAAAAAAAAAAAAAAAAATTCGAAGTAAAAAGAAAAGGCTTTAAAAAAATTAGGATGGAGGGAGGCAATAAAAATTTTATTTACAATTTCATATGACGTGCATCAATTACATGAATACTAAGCATCAGGCCGATAGTACCACTATATCTGGGAGTACTATGTTGTTCAGATGAGACCACTTTACAAGTTCTGCATTTGTAGGAAAATGTGTCTTTGCTACAGGCATTTTATCCTTAGTAAACACAGTATTTAAATATGTAACGGAGGTCATGTATTTATCGCATGCTTGTAGTACATTCAATCATGATATGTAGGCATCATATGAGGACTGCCCATAGTATTAAATGAGATTTTTGTCACAAATGTCGGCAATTATCTTAAAAGCTAACCAAACCTTTTAACAGACTGATTAAGAAGGGATATAAATTACTCATCATAAGACAGCTGAGTCAGGACCGGTGTTGCTTTTCCTGACTGCAAAACTTACGTTGTTAGAAAACTACACACGGTTGGTCAGTCAAAATCCTTATTTGTAACCCGACAGCATTCGCACAATTTTCAGAACTTGGCCGAAGGAAGGAAGACTATTAGTACTCACATTAAAAGATGCATTCGCTGGCAAGAATTATTTGAAAATCATCGTGGACAGGGTTCACGCAGAAAGACGAAGAAGACAAAGAAAGACATTTTAAATCGAAAGCAAAAGGACAAATCATGGACTGAAAAGAATGATATTAGAGGAATCTGCCTAAGATCATACATTTAACAGGTTTAACACCTTTATTTCTGACAAACAGATGCAGATTAAAAAGGACCAAATTAAGTTCATGAAAGAAAAAAAGCCTGAAGGTTCAACAGAAAAAGAATAAAAATAAAAATGACAAAGGTAAATTATTGTGGCAATTGTTTTCCAGGCATCACTGTAATTATGTAGATGATGGTCAGCCATACAAATAAAGTTATATTTGCTTTGTTTTTGTCCGTATTGTTCATATTTGCACATAATTTAACGTAACTTTTAGTCATCAGAATATGAAATACATGTATAAATCCTATATTCAATTGTACATAGACCGTGAACATGGTCATTGTTGTATGGATGTTGATTAAGGACCATAGATTCGATCAATAAATATTATTAAACGACTTTTTTATTGATCAGGCATCATATGCGGAGTGCCCATAGTATTAAATGAGATTTCCATCTTTTTTCATAAATGTCGGCAATTACCTCAAAAGCTAACCAAACCTTTTAACATTAAATCGACCATTTAATAGATGAGTGTATAAGTTGTAAACATAAAACAATAAACTTGCGGAAAAGATGGTATACCGCAAACATGAGGTGCAAAAATTTGTACACCATATCCGGATTTCGACAATTAATGTCTCTTCAGTGATGTTGGG